ATACTATATCGAAAGACGAATGCTGATGACGTCATATATACGCGGCGCGTTTGGCGCGTGTCGATACTTAGTGTTGTCTAATGTTGCCAACTTAGTGGATTATCCACTAAAGCTGTTAGTTTCGACTTATGTTTCGAATCATATTTTTAAGTGTTAAGTGTACACTGCGGTTAGAGGTTGGCAGAAAAATGCTACAAAGAAATTGACATTCCAATAAACGTTGTGAAATGAATATTTAGTGATAAATTATGTAAATACATTAAAAAAATTGATAGTGAATTTTAATTCTGTAATTAATTAAATTTATTTTAATTAATAATTATACCTGATTGCTTGGTTATCAATAAAAATACTTACCTCAAACATACAACAAGTCTTTCCTCTGGTTCAATTGACCTTCTAAATCTTGAGTTTGCATAGGAAAAGATGGTTTTAATATATGTAACAATTCTTGAAATTTCTTGTATATTAAATGCAAATATCTAAAAAATCGTGAATCATTATATAACAAGTCTTTAAATAAAGTATAATACTCTCCATGTACGATGTGACGACTCGACCTGGCAACATACAACGCACGCACCCTGAGGACTGACGAGAAGATTGTGGAGCTGGCAGAAGAGATAGACAAGTTACGCTGGCATATTATAGGATTATCCGAAGTCCGAAGAGACGGGGAGGAAACGGTAATTCTCGAATCCGGCAACTTGCTCTATTACCGGGAGTGCGACCATCTGTACCAAAGAGGTGTCGGATTTATCGTCCACAAGTTTCTCGTTAACAACGTTGTAAAGATTGAGAGTGTGTCGACGAGACCTTATACTCAGAATCACCAAACGGTATTCGCTGAAGGTCATACAGGTTTACGCACCAACCTCGGCACACCCCGATGAGGAGGTGGAGGAAATGTATGAGGATAACTCTAGAGCTATGCAAACCCAATATGCGGTGTTAATGGGAGACTTCAATGCAAAACTAGGCACAAGAGAGAATAGGGTGCTGAAAGTAGGGAAATTTGGAATAGGGCAACGGAACTCAAGGGGCCAGCAGCTGGCCGACTTCATGGAGAAAGAGGGACTCTTTATGATGAACTCTTTCTTCCAGAAGCGGCCCCACAGGAAGTGGACCTGGTTGAGCCCCGACGGTTCGACAAAAAATGAGATTGACTTCATTATGACGACCAGACGACAAATTTTCAGTGATGTCTCAGTGATCGCGAGGGTGAAAACCGGCAGCGATTACCGAATGGTTAGAGGCACACTGAACCTAAAAGTTGGGGAGGTCTCGTCTAATGAAGTCAACGCTCCGTCCCCCTCGTGCTCTGTTCCAAAGTCCCGAAACCTTTCAGCTCGAGTTACAAAACCGTTTTCAGTGCCTAGAAGACTACAATGAAGTGGACGAGATGAATGACAAGCTCGTGGAAACTGTCCATGCGGTCGGAGCTAAGTTCTGCAAGACCCGCCGTAGAAGAACACAAAAACTCTCCGATCACACTCTCAATCTCATGGCTGTCAACAGATTTGAGAGCATACATGAGAACAGACAGATCTCCAAATGCATGCGGGGGGACTGGCGCAACTTCAATACAGCTTGTATTGAAGAAGCGATCGAGCGGAACCAAGGCTCCAAAGTCTTTGCCAGAGATCTGTCTGCCAGAAAGAGCCAACTGTCAAAGCTGAAGACAGAATGTGGCAGCATCGTTTCCGGGGCACCTGAGATTTTAAGTGAGATTGAGAGGTTCTATGGGCAGCTGTACACGTCATCGTGGGAGCCACACGCGAGTGTGAGTATAGATCCAAGAGCGAGTCTTATCCGACATTATTCCGATGATATCCCGGACGTCAGTCTGAGCGAGATTAGAATGGCTCTCCAGCACCTTAAAAACGGCAAGGCCCCAGGCGAGGATGGAATTACAGCAGAGCTTCTGAAAGCAGGTGGAAAACCGGTACTGGAAGTCCTTCAGAAGCTCTTTAATTCCGTCCTCCATGGTGGTTTTACACCGGAGGCGTGGAGCAGAAGTGCGGTGGTCTTGTTCTTCAAGAAAGACGACAACGCTCTCTTGAAGAACTACAGACCGATTTCCCTTCTGAGCCGCGTCTACGTGCTGTTTTCGAGAGTCATTACGAATTGTCTCGCGCGCAGACTTGACGACTTCCAGCCTCCCAAACAAGCCGGTTTCCGAAAAGGCTTTAGCACCATAGACCACATACATACCCTTCGGCAAATTGTACTAAAGTCAGAGGAGTACAATTTGCCACATTGTCTGGCGTATGTGGACTATGAGAAAGCCTTTGATTCCGTCGAAATTTGGGCGGTGCTGCAGTCCCTTCAGCGGTGCCAAGTGGACTGTCGGTATATCGAAGTGCTGAAGTGCTTGTACAGTAGGGCTACGATGGCTATCCGAGTACAGAACCAGAGTACGAAACCTATCCAATTGCAGAGAGGTGTAAGACAGGGTGACGTCATATCCCCGAAACTCTTCACCGCTGCATTGGAAGACGTTTTCAAGCTTCTGGACTGGAAAGGATACGGTATCAACATCAAGTAAAGTGAGTGATAGTGACCTAAGTACTGTGCTCAATGACCTCAATAGTGCTTCCCAACGGATAGGTCTTAAGATGAACATGGACAAAACAAAGATCATGTTTAATGTCCATGTCACACCTATGCCGGTAGTTGTTGGGAGCACTAAGCTCGAAGTTGTTGACGAGTATGTTTACCTGGGACAAATAGTCCGACTAGGTAAGTCCAACTTCGACCGAGAGGTCAATCGACGGATTCAACTCGGTTGGACAGCGTTCGGGAAATTACGGCACATCTTCTCGTCAGGTATACCTCAAAACTTGAAAACGAGACTGTACAACCAGTGCGTGTCGCCGGAACTGAGACGTGGTCTTTCACTGCTGGCCGGATGAGGAAGCTCAAGGTCGCTCAGCGAGCTATGGAGAGGGCTATGCTCGGAGTTTCTCTGCGTGATAAACTCAGAAATGAGTATATCCGCAGTAGAACCAGAGTGACCGACATAGCCCAACGGATTATTACTCTGAAGTGGGAATGGGCCGGCCATATAGCTCGAAGAACCGACAACCGATGGGGAAGTAAGCTTCTCGAGTGAGAGCCTCGTACCGGCAGGCGAAGTGTTGGGCGTTCCCCTACTAGATGGAGTGACGACCTGGTAAGATATGCAGGAAGTCGAGGGATGCAGGTGGCTCAGGACCGTGCTTTGTGGCATTCCTTGGGGGAGGCCTATGTTCAGCAGTGGAATTGTGAAGGGCTGTAATGAAGATGAAATGATGATGATGGATTAATTAATAATGTAAAACTGACTGATGTAAAGGAGCCCTTTCTTTGTGAACAGGGTTCTTTAAATATCATTGGGCATTACTTCATTCGACTTCCAATAACTGTAGTAATTATTAATTCCTCCAAGATACACCCAAAAGAACTAAGTTACAAAACAATCATAATGTAAATATCGGTCTTTACTAAGACGATTATGCCATAAAATAATTATAAAACGGAATGTTACAAACTTTTACAAAGATAATAATATAATTATTTATACTCGTATTAATTAATATAATAAACTAAATATTTTAAGGATAGCAAGGATATGCTTACTAACCGTACATTCAATTATTTAAAGTTAACCACCTTGAACCGGTTAAATAATTTCGAATTCTCGCAGTGTAGAGACAGCGTTAAATAATTCTACAACCAAGTTTCGTCAATTGGTCTTCGTGGTAAAGCCACCGATGGATGACTGACCTCGTCTAGGTGAGCTAGGTGATGCAAGATACCTAATTAGGATTGCCGGTAATCACAACTTCATATTCAACTTCAAGGTTTTTTAAAACCTTCTTGTCGAAGCTGAACGTGCCCAACGATGTATTTTAAAAGTAATGGTATTACTTCCATTTCGTTATCCAACTACACTAGTGTATGAAAAAGCCCGAGTACTAAGCGTAAGAAAACTTTTTTATCTATCAATGCATACGAAGGTACTATCGTATAACTGCACCATGTATCAAAATTCCAAAGAAAAGAACATTCAAATACCCGACCCCTAGAACAAGAAGTATTTTTGCGAAAAGACACTATAGTTACATTGCCCCGCATTTGTACAATAAGTTATACAGGGACTTTAAATTAAACTTAAATAATTACAGTAACCACCAAATAAAGGCAAGGATCAGAGTGTTGTTAGAGAATCTTGATTATGACAGCACAGAAGCACTTATGCTGTAGGTTTACCACACGCATATATTCCAACACACACAGACACACATACACCCACTCACACACTTACACACATACCAACACACGAACACACACACACACACACACACACACACACACACAAAACACACACACACACACACACACGCCACACAACACACACACACACACACACACACACACACACACACACACACACACACACAACACACACACACAAAACAAGCGCTTACAATAATATTTTTTAAATTTCTTATTTATATATTTGTACTTGTTTAACTTACTAAATAACTAAATTATTATTATTATATATAAATTGATCTTTTGACAAGGCTAACTTTAAGGGGAGGAACTGGTTCCTGAAACACAGTTACACTAGCTCAGGGAACAGGGAATCAATGAACTTATGTAAAAAGGTTGTTATTAAATAAATAAATAAAATTAAAAAAAAAGTATAACTCTCGGCCCATAATAATCTCCATCTGTCTTTATCTCCTCGCTCTTTACAGAAAAATTCAGTTCAGATTAGCAAGTGTTCATATATTTGCGCATACAATTGTGGTACTCTAAAATGTTTCTCGCAGATAATAAAACCAAAGCCAAGTCTTTTTCACTTCACTCAATAACATACCAAAAACCTTAAAATGTATAATTTTGATTCAAATCGTGAATTTTTTTTTCTAATATGTCAAGATTATCTATTATCAGATCAATGTACACACAATGCTTTGCACAAAACGGCGACCTCGATGCTTTGCGATGCCTCTGGCTAAGATCTAGTTAAACAAGTTTATTCAAAAGGTGTCAGTCATTTTGTGGTCGTAGCGTTGTTTTCATGTGTTTGAAAACATTATTGTTTATTTTTATAGTGTATTAAGCTTATTAAGGCGTAATTAAGTGAGTTTGTCAGTAAAATGAATAAAAATTCGAGGTATGTAAATATTAAATTTTACTTAAAAACTATTACATATTACTTTATATATATATATATATATATATATATATATATATATATATATATATATGTATACTAATACGTTATATAATAATTTTGTAAAAAATATGTTTAAACTTCAAGGCAAAACATTCCTATAAGGTGAGCTTAATAAGATCCTTAACCTTATAATACGAAGAAATATAATATGAAGAGAGAACGAAGTGTGAAATATGGGTAAATCAGGAATGTCGAGAACAGGTAAATGAAATTGTATACTTGGGGAGTGCTTTTAGCCGGGATGGAAGATGTGATTTAGATGTGGACAGGCGTGTCGCTGCCGGGAACAAAGTCAATGGTGCCCTGACTGCGTTAGTCAAAAGGCAAGGCGTAGCGAAGAGTGCACGCCTTGCAATACATAACGCAGTGTTGGTACCGACTTTGTTATATGGCAGCGAAACCTGGGTATGCCAGAAGAAGCATAAAAGTAAATTGAATGCAGTGGAGATGCGATCTCTTCGTAAAATGTGCGGCGTTACCATAGCCGACCGAAAGCGAAACGAAGAGATTCGCAATATGGCAGGTTTGAAAGATGACCTTATCACAAAAATTGATAAGGGCGTGCTTCGGTGGTTTGGGCACGTTGAGCGAATGAGTGAAGACCGAATGGTGAAGAAAATATATAGCGCGAAAGTAAATATTAAAAGGTGTCGAGGTAGACCGAGACTAACTTTCGAAGACCATGTGAGCAAATTGCTCGAAGAGGGTAGGGTCAAAAGTACTCGGATACCTAGACGTGCATGCATGAAGAAGATAATGAATCTGAAAGAAGCGAAAGAGTTATGTAAGGATCGTGACACTTGGCGATCTGTTCTCTCTGGCTACCCCGTCAGGGATTGTGCGTGAAGATAAGTAAGTAAGTAACCTTATAATACAGGCTTTAAATTATAGCGCGTGAAAAGATGACCTAGTAACAAAAGACCTTTGAAGTTGTAATTATTCAAGGCAATAAAAAGGATTATAAAAATTACGTCTCGTTGATTAGCTGTAGATAACATACATCTATGAATACTGGCTATGGAACAAAAATGACGATTGCACAACATTACTTCTTAGTAAAAATTTACTGTGTAATTTACATTTTAGCCCTCTCCTTTAATATAGGCATTAATAGGAATATTTGCCCGAACTCATTGATATTTGACAGGTTCCGTTACTACAAGAGGGCACATGTCATTTAAAAAGAGACTAGATACTGTGGCTATTGTTGAACATCGTCATCATCATCATTAGCACCACCACCACCACCACCACCATCATCATCATCATCATCATTAAAGCCTATCACAAGTCCTTTGATGAACATAGTCCTCCCCCGAGGAATGCCACAAAACATGGTCCTAAGTCACCTGCATCCATACAGAATCTAAAGTGTAATAATCTAAATAATCTATTGGCGATTTTACTCTTAAATTATAATAGAAAAACTGCAATGAAAATGTGATCGGCAGTGTATTCCGGATCGGACAGTGTAGTGTAATGCATTGCAGTTTTCACCGTCCAAATTCATTTCATCATCATAGTTATCTTTGCAAAGATTTTTTATTTTCTACATCTTCGGTTTCTGAGATGATTTTGTAAGATTTTCCGATAGTTTTCTTACTGACCGCCGTATTATCTAGATGCGTACTGCTATTTAGCTTATTCTTTAGTTTATGATTCGACGAAGTGAATGGAATTTTATTTTGTTTTCGCTGCTTGGCGTTTGGAGATACCCTTTTCAAATGCAGTTTTAGTGTATAGTAGGTTTTCTTCGCTACAAGTTTCTTTGGCGGTAGTCCTTTGCATATTATATTTTACCACAATTTTTTCCTGTCTGCTCATGCGTCACACACCAAGCACTTCAGACCCTGTGAGGTGTTCCTACGCAATTCTTGACTGCTTCGTAGGTCTAGTAATCGTAGGCCAGTTATTGGGTTTTTCATCCCCATTGCTACGGGGGAGGTAGTTGGTGGTGTTTCACCCCCGTGCCTCAGACGAAAAGCCGGTCGTGTTGAATTACCGTCCCATTGGACTATGAGAGTGAGGGAATAGAGAGTGCACCTGTGCTTGCGCATACACTTGGGCACTATAATCCTGTCCTGCGCAGATAGTCTCTAGTCTCAGGCTAACTTAAAGACCGCCATAACCAAAATTCGGTCTGTAGGACATTATTATTATTATTTATCAGGTTATTTCAATGAGCGCCATGGCCCTTGCTCCCTATTATGTGTCGTTACTAGATGCTTTTAAATACTAGTAAACACTAGATGATTGACCAAATTACATTAACTAGATGACTGAGTAAAAAAGGAAACATACTGTAAAAATGTTTATTAGAAAAATTGTAAACGTATGTTATTACATTAATAGTCAGTGACGAAACTATAAACAAGTTAAAAGATTGTCATCTCGACATTAATATGGGACAGGAAGATCTGGCCACCCAATCTATCCTTAAACCCTATTTCGATAGATTGCATCTTTGTAATTTATTTTCATAGCAGACACAATATCTTTACAAATTTATTTAAAAAAAAACAAGGTGTATTATTTTTTTGTGGGAGATGTGATACAGTGCTATAATTAATATATAATTACAACTATAATTCTAGCATATATTAATTAAACTATAAGGTTGCTTTAAATATATAAGCTACACCTATAATTATATATTAATTATATACTATAGGGACAAATTATTTAGTTATTCTTTCTGAAACGGCAGAACTACAAGAAAAACTTCTATATTATATTTTTTATTATATAAGGGTGACTAATGATCGCACAGTTCACCTAATGGTAAGCGGATGTCGGGGTCCATAGACATATATATTTTTCCTCGACTAAGAAACAAAATGCAGATGCGTTCTCACCCTTGAAGACTAAGATGGAATGCTTCGTTTGCAATAAAAGGGTCTCCGGTCCTCTACACCCACCATATATGGGACAGTTATATCGTTTAACAAGCTGTGCTCGCGACTTCTTTCGCGTGGTATTAGTACTTTTGTTATATATTGATCATGACATATTTGTACTTTTTAATGGCGCCAGGACCGTATTGAACAGTAGTATACATATATATATATATATACATAATATATATATACATATATATATATACATTATATATATATATATATATATATATATATATATATATATATATTAATATCCACTACCACATATCATCCCGTGAGTGTCGTAAGAGGCAACAGAGGGAAACAAATCGGAGGATGGGCAACAGTGCCAACCCACTAACAAATATTCCCACCATGAGGCAATCTATGTTCAGCAGTTGAATTTTTTGAGTTATTCTTAATAACTCATATTGAAGTCGGCTGTACAAAATTTTTAATTTTTAATTGTTATGCTCTCTTTTTTACTGAATCCGGCGAAACCCTGTTCTGTTCTAGGTATGCGATGAGGCGTGCGTTCAATAAATGCTCTATAATCTTGCACAGTATGAAAGTAACTGAGATTGGTCGATAATTGGTTGGTCGACACTGCTGTCTTTTCTGCCGACTTCCAAAAAGGAGACGGTACTCAATTCGACGCGTGATTTTTTATATGTGTGTTAACTCATAACTTTTTATTGGGTAAACCGATTTCGATGATTCTTTTTTTATATGAAAGCTGATACTTCTCGTGTAGTCCGATATAAATTTGATCAAGGTCAGACCAATTGTTTTTGAGTTATTCTTAATAACTTATATTGAAGTCGGCTGTACAAAATGTTTAATTATAAATTATTGATACAAACCTCCGACATAACATTGTTGCTACTGTCCAAATGTAAATTAGACGCAAAAAAAGACGCGAATAAGTCCACTTTCTCTTTAACTAGTGTGTCATCCGGTTTTACCAGCGTAGGCAGTGTATGTCAACAGAAGTTTGTTTCGACTGCTTTGGCAAGAAACCAAAAATCTCTTGTGCTAGATTTTCTGGTAGAGAATTTTACGCAAATAAGTTTAACACGATCGAGATCAGAAAAATAAATAAAATACTCCACCGCTTGACTCAACACACCGGTTATCGCATCCGCGCGGCTCAACGAATTAGGAGTAGAGTAACAGACCTCCTTTCAAAAGTAGGATGCCAAAAAGTGTCGCATCTCATCCGAATCAGCTGACTTACATCGCCATATTCACCGAACACCCTGGGACTCATAATAAGGCGGCAAATATGGCTATACAGATTTCGCAAGACAGTGGTCAGATGTACCCAAATAGAGGTATGACCTACAGATTCTCTACAACTATCGGATATGACTTTCTAACAATAAAGCAAATGAGGCCACTGTAACTACTATTTATGAAGTAATTGTTTACATCTGCCACAGTTTCTCAAATAAACCAGAGTTGACTAGTAGAGAGTGCCTTGAGTGATATTCCTTAATAAAAGATGTGTAATAAAATTAAATAAGTAAATAAATAAAATATACCGTAAAACTTTGCACGAATTTGAAGTTTTGTGATTGATATATTTTGACACGCATAGAAAAAGTGACATGTAAAGAAAAAATGCAAATCGAAACTTTATGCGCTTAGCAAAACAACCCATTATAGCCTTCACTTCATATTTATTGAGAAATAAGCTTTGAAAAGGCCAGACAAAGTTAATGGCATTTCCTCTACTTTGTCTCAGCAAAAATATCGCAGTTGAAAATGTGTTTCCAAATAAACATATTCCGCTCCCTTATAGTATTGGTTTATTATTTTTACTTGTTCATGTCATAAAGTTTAAAACTTTTTTTTATTAAGAAGGTGGGAAAAGTCGCGCAGATATTTTGAACATTTAATCTTTTTATGGAAAATGTTTCAGGGCTGTCACCTTTTTTGATATGATATAGAATAAGTGTGACAATCGAGCACGCAGTCCACCTACCTGATGGTAAGTGGTTGTTGCGGCCCATAGACTTCTACATCTATCTTCGTTTGCGAATTAAAACGCAGATG